TCAGAGTCACACAGCCAGGAAACAGTGAGTGGTCCTAGGATTTGACTCCACAGTCTTCTGACTCCTGCTTTTACTGCTCTAGCCTGGGTTGGGCCTGGGAGCATTGGGGACACCATACGGGCTTGTCATCTGCCTGTCCTGCAGGGACAGAGCCTGTGGTAACACACTGCCACTCCCTGTGCCTGTCTCCCAAGGTGCCTAGACCTCATTAGGTGTCTCATCTCAGGCAAATGGCTTCCTTTCTTCCTATCTCCTCAGTTTTCTCATCTGTAAAATGGGTGTAATTGCCACGGATGATAATAATACAGGGCATCCTGTGTTAATGAAAAGTCTACCTCCCCGTCACATCCCCATCAAAGACCTTTGACAGCAGGTCCCGCTGCCTTCAGGTTGTTGAAAGCATCGAAATTCTCCCTAGTCCGTGACCTCCTTGGATTCTAATAATCACTTACCTGTGATTCTTAGCCTCACGCTAACATCAGGAGCCTCTCTGACCAAGTATTCCAAGTCTGAGTCATGCTTTGCCCGCTCAGAGCCAAGTGGGTGCATGTGTCTGAGCTCAGGCCGATATGACACAACATCGTAGTGGCTAAAACAATGGACGTTTATTTATCTTCTCCAACTTCCAGAGGCTGGAAGTCCAAGGTCAGGCTGCTGGCACGGTTGGGTGGGTTTGGTGAGCGGTCCGGTGGCTTTACCTGCGTCCAGCCCCTACTTGCTCTGGTCTCACGTGGTAGAGATAAGACTCTGCTGTCTCTTTCTCTTCTTTTCCTTTTTTTTCAACAGACACATCATTAGAATTTATGAGCAATGTTGCCAGATACGAGAGTAACCCATAAATATCAATAATAGTTCTCTACACCAGCAATCAATCAATAGGAAAAAATAACCCTGAGATACACATCTTTTCACATTTCACTGCCTCTGAAACTGGGATGCGTCTCAGACTGATGACACGTCCGACTTGAGTGAAGACAGAATAGAAAGTAAGACACTGTTCCCAGCTGTCACCGATGTGATTGAGAGTCTGGGGAACAGGTTATGCGAGACCTCTACGGGGGAAACCTTGAACCCATCAAGAAGGACGCCAAAGGTGATCCAAATAAGTGCAATGACTTCCTCTGTCCTCAGTGGGGTGATTTAATGTTATAAAGTTGTCGATTCTCCCCAAATGCGCCTAAGAATTCAATGTGGTGCCAACAGAAACTCCGAGTGGGTTTTTCAGAGGAACACAGGAGAACTTTGACGAGGGTGCCCGCCCTTTTGGACCAGGCCACACCCTCCCAGCCTGTTCAGCCTTTATCACCCACTCACAGGCTCTGTCTCCAGATACAGCCACATTGGGGGTCAGGGATTCAACATGGAAATTTAGGGGGTGCAATTCAACCCACAGCAGCACCCTAGCTTTGTTGAAGCTTTATTGAAGTATAATTAATGAATGAAACTTACATACATGTCAGGTGCACAACTCGATGTTCTGATGTACACATACCCCATGAAATGATGACCACATCAAGCTACTTCATACATCCATCACCTTGCACAGTTACCATCATGTGTGTGAGAGATGAGATTACTTAAGATCTGCCCTCTTAGCAAACTCCAAGCGTACAGTCCGGTATTGCTAGCTGCAGTCATCATGCTTGCCATGCATTTGATCCCCGGGACCCAGTCCTCCTGCATAACTAAAGCGAGGTGCCCTTTGACCAGCGTCTCCCCACTCCCGCTACCTCCCCAGCCCAGCAACCACCGCTCTGCCCCGCACACCGGTGAGTTGGACTGTTTTAGAGTCTGCACGTAAGTGGACCAATCGGAGTGTTTCTCTGTGTCTGGCTACCTTCCTTAGGAACATGTCCTCCAGGTTCACCCATGTTGTTGTAAACAGCAGGGTTTCCCTACTTTTGAAGGCAGCATAATATTCCATTGGATGTGCACACCGCATTGTTTTTATTCGTTTATCTGTCGACAGAGACCGAAGTTGTCTCTGTACCTTGCCTACTGCAAATAACACTGCAACGGACGTGGGAGGCCAGCATCTTTGTTCTGAAACATGCCGTCTCGGTTTGGGGAAATCCCGGTAAATACATACAAGAAGAGTCGTCTCTGAGTTTACAGACATTCATCGAAAACATGAATCGCTTCCAGAGTTCTTCGACCTCCAGGTGTAGCCGTGACCGGCTCCGATCTCTGTCAGCAGGGTCTCTGTTGTGAGTCAGTTCGTAGGGGAGGCGAGTCGAGGTGATGCAATCAGATTGGAGATCTGGCTCCGACACTGACTGGCTGCGTGACCTTGGACTGGTCACTTCACCTCTCAGAGTTCCAAATGTTCATTTATAAGAAGAGGGCTGTCCGCATGTCATGGGGGTCCTGCGAGGAATAATGGGGATAATTATCTGGAAGTTAATAGGCCCCAGGCCTTCCCTATTCACTGCCTGTGTGACCCGTTAAACCCTGCGTCCTCGTCTGTCAAATGGACACAACTGCAGTGACCGCCCCATCGGTGAGGATCAGACAGGTACAGCCCATAGCGGGGTGTCCGGCAAAGCATAGTAAGAGTTCGATGAACAGTAGCTGTTATCATCGTGCACAGGAGCGTCGAGCCTGTGCAGTTCGTCCCTTGGAGATGAGAGTGGAGGATGCTCAGGTGTGTGTGCACGTGTGTGCACAGATTCCCTTGCACGCATTTGAACCTGCGGCGGGAAAGAGGCCTGGTTGGAGTGGGCCCAGGAGACAGTGGGGTGAGGGAATGGAATGCAGAGCCCACGTCATCGTAGACCATCGCAGAAGCCAGGAAGCAGGGCAGTGACTGGAGAAGGATGTGGGTTCGAACGGCAGCCAGGCCGTCAGCTGAGTGGGAGGACACGGTGTGACACAGCCACTAAGACACCCCTTGGTCATTGTGAGGATGAGAACGTTCAGCCCAGAGAAAGGTCCCAACATCGCTGTACTTTGTGCGACACTTTACTCGGAGAAGGGCATTGCCTGGGAGTTTTAATATGTTTCACAGCGTATTAGTAAGCTTTTCCATGTGGCCTTTCCTGTCACTGAAAGATGCTTTAAAATAATTGAGAGATTTTAAAAAATTTTATTTCATCCCAACATGTCACTACCTGGAGCTGCGAGTATGCGTTTTGTTAGCAAAAGGAGACCTGAGATTTCCTGTTTCCTGTTCCTCCCGATTCCTTAGTGCGCATCTGTCTCAATGCTCGGCTCCCTCGCTCACCCTCCATGCTGCCTGCCAGCCCCCCACCCAGGTCTCCAGCGATTCACCGCTGATTTAATGGAAGCCTCTCCCCAGCCGTCCTGACTCCTGTCTCTCGCTGGCCCTATTCATCCTGCCTCGGTAATTTTGAAACATTGCCCTCCCCGTGCTGCCAGAATACGGTGATGTCTCTGTCCTACAGTCATAAAATATGAATCGCCTGGCCTGAGTTCACCTCATTTCCATCTCATTGCCCCGAGATGTAGCCCGAGCTCACAGGAGGCAGATCTCCCTTTCCTTGGACACCCCGGCTTCTCTTCCCTTTTCCCTGCCTTTTCTGTCTTCCCAGGGCTCCTAGGAGACACCCAGACTCCTCACTGCACCCCTCAAGGCTGCACGCCACTTGTAACCCTGCTCACTTCTCCCTGCCAAGCAAGCCCAGCCCCCTTCAAATTGAGCAGTTTCCCATCTCGGGAACCTTTGCACTTGCTATTTCTTCTGCCTGGGAAGCTCTGTCCCCTCCCTTCACATGCCTGCATCTTATTTACTCTGCAGCTTACATGTCACTCCTTGGAAACACCTCTCCATCTTTCCTTCAAAAATATCCCACTCTCCAGTTTGTTTCCTTTTGCATCTACACTTTATTTGCTTCATAGAAACTGCTGCAGTTCCAGCTGACCTTGCTGGTTGGGTTATCACCTGACCACCTGCTGGGATGTCAGCTCTGCAGGGTGGGGGCGCTCCCCTTTCATGGTTATCTCTGGGTCCCTGTGCCTGGGGCAGGGCAGGAGCCGCGTGGGGCTTTGTCGATGCTGTTAATGGATGGCCTTGCCCCTTGCCTGTCACTGCGGTCCGTGCAGTTTGTCATTGTCCATGTTGTTTGCTGCTGGTACCCTGGTGTCTGGCACTTATGGGTTCTCAACAAAGAAATGTTAGAGGCTGGTTGAACTGAACCCACAGCAGGGCCCCTTCGCCCAGCAATTCAGCCCTGACCACGTCATGCAGTGCTATTTCCCTCTTGTGTGTGTTCAATGCAGAGTGTGGCTCCTTCCTACTGTCTGCTACCCTGAGATACTTTCAGGGAGCTCCACCCACCGCTGTGCCGCGTACTCCCCACTGCAGTGAGGGCGGCAGGATCTGCTCTGTGTTACAGATGCGGGGGAGGGAGAGTGGGGGAGTCTGAAACTTGCTCCCAGCCTCCTAACTGCTAAGTGAGGGAGCTGTTCTCTGAAAGAGCACAGTGGGGGCCCGGGGGACCTGGGGGGGCACCCGGGGTCATGACAGAACTGTCAATCACCTGAGCATCATTTGGGGCATGTTTTTAATGGTTCAATTCCATGTACTCTTTTAATGATAGCAACTATTTTGTAATATGCCCTTTGCCATCCTGAACAGATATTCATAAAGGATATAACTTACATATACACATATTTAAAAGCCTTAATCCCATTACATAAAGGAAATAAATAAAAGGCCAGTAATTCGTACAATGCGTTGTATTTAAGTGAATGTGCGAACACCAGGTGGTCTCATGCTTTCACACAGTCTGTGAAACCACATTCTTGGGCACTTTATGCTCTCAGAGACTCACTGTGCGACTGTGACAGTGGCAGATGCGGGCCAGGCCATGTGGGCCGTGCTGTGGCTGCCACCCCACGAGCAGTGCTTGCTGCACGTGGGACGTGGGGCCGGCACCCCGTCCCTCCCCCTCTGAGTTCCAGCTGTGCCCCCCAACGCCCCTGTGAATTTCCAAACTGCCCTCTTGGGGCCCTTCCACCTCTACTGAGACCCACGGGGGTGGTGAGGGGCTGCGCTTAGTGTGAACCCTGGCCTTGCTGAACTTTGTTTTTTTCTAAAATGGGGGATCATAAACCCTCTCTCAAAGATGCATTTGAGGGTGACATGATCTGAGAGGGGAGTGCTGTCCCCGATGCAGTAATCCAGCCCCCGGCAGACCCTTGACACCTGCCCATTTTTCACTCTGCACCTGGGCAGACTTGTTCTGCAAACGGCCAGACAAGAAAACGAGGTTGGCTTCATGGGCCACGTGGTTTCTGTTGCAGCGACTCACCTCCACGGCTGTAGCAGGAAAACAGCCGTCAATGGTCTAGAAACAAATGGGCGTGGCCATGTTCCAATAAAACTTTAAGTACAAAGTCTGGTGGTGGGCCGGATGGCGTGTGTGGGCTGCCTCGTTTGCTGATCCCTGCTGTGTGCCTATAAAAAATCCGTTCCCCACTTCATCTGTCCACTCAACTGGATTAAAATCTCCCTCGAGTCCCTGTTTCTAAGTTTTATCATAATAAGTCAGGCAGAAGAGAGTTATCAACCAGGGCTGGAGCAGGCAGGCCCGGAGGCGGTTGCCAGAGATAATGAAGAACCTACAAAGCAGAACAACCTCGCATCTGCAGCCAGCTGCCTTCAGCTTGCGGGGGGAGAGGCAGTGCTACTAATGACCAAGTTCGGGGGAGAGGACATCACAGGACGAGAGCGCGTGGGTGAGGCGGGGTGACGTCCCTGTGTGGGGGCCCAGGCTTGTATCTGTCAGGGAGCGTGTTTCTGAGGATCTTCAGCATTTCAGAGGGAAGTCCCAATTTGTCCCTTGCATTTCTTTTCTGAAAGTTTCTTGTCCATCCAATAAAAGAGAAAAAAAATAAGTTTAAAAAGGGCCAGACAGGAACTAGTATAAAGGACACATGGATAACAACTAAAGGGGGTGGAAATGGGAGGGAGGTGGGGAGCACGGGGGGGTGGGCTGGGATGGGAGGAAAAGACAGAATACTGTACTTGAAAAATAATTAAATAAAAAAATTAAAAAAATAAAAAAGCTAATAGAAATATGTATTTAAAAAAAAAAGGTCCAGAGATCATCCAGCAAGCCAATTAGAACCCTGCAGTGCTAATTGCAAAGCAGGTGTCATCTGCCTTGCCTTTAGCTCCCTGATTTCCATTGTAAATGTCGGTCATAGGTGTGGGGAGGAGAAAAAGGAGGGGGCTGTGGGGTAGTTCAGAGGCCACCAGTGGGCAGCCGGAGGACACATTTCTTTCAACAGTTGCAGAAAAGGTCTGCTTGCCTAAAATTAAAATTCATATAGTCCGCATAAAACCCACATAAAAATCCATCTTTTGAGCTTCTCCTGAAAAGTCAGAGGTCATGGGGACTCTGGAACTGTCTTCCGCCAGCACCAGGGGGTGGCTGCTGCCTGTGGGTCAGGGGGTGCACCCGCCCGAGCTGCCTGCTTCCTTGACTGCAGCCTCTGTAGGCATTTGTATTTGTGAGGTCTGCATCCCTAAGAAATGGGCCACGAGGTCTTTCATGAGTCACAACACTGCTCACAAGGTGAGGGCTGGCCTGGTGAGGGCCTCCTAGGTGGCCTCCTTGCTTCCGAGCATGGCTCCCTACAGGGGCTACTCCAGGGAGGAGAGGAGGAATCAGTAAAAATGCCCAGCTGGTCTGCCCCAGCTTCCCAGCTTAGCCCCCTCACTGGCTTCCCACTGCCAGTGGACGAAGACCCCAACCCTTCCCATGGCCTGCAGGGCCCAGGGTGGCCTTGTCTCTGTCCACCTCCCCAGCTGCCTGTCTCTGCCTGGTGCCCCTCTTGCCCACTCAAAGGCCATATTCCAGGCACACTGAGCTGCTTTCATTTCCCCAACCTGTTGAGATCTTTCATGCTTTTAAGAACCTCAATTTTAAATGTATAACTTTGTTGAGACAGACTCTCTTTGGCTAACGCTGCATTTGATTGAACTTGACAGAAATCCAAAAGAAGCAAAAGGGAAGCTTATGTTCCCCGTGTAATGATCTGCGTGTAGGGACCCAGGGCCTCGAGGCATGGCAGCTGCGTGGTGACTGGTGGTTTAGACGTCTCCTCTCTTGTCTCTGCTGCATGTGGCCTTGTGATCCAGTAGGGTGGCATCCCAATGCCAGGCCACAGGCTGGAGAGACAAAGGAAGAAGGGAGCCCACAGGGCATGCACACCTTCACTTAAGTGGAGTTCCTGGAAGAGGATTCGCTGATCTGTACCTCTCACTAAACCCTGGCCAATGGGATGATAGAAGGCCGCCTGAGCCGCAAGGAAGCTGGGAAATGTAGTCTTTATTCCAGGAAGTCACGTGTCCATGGAAGAAGGTGTGAGTACCACACACCTGCACGGGCTTCTGTTAGTCTCCAGTAGTCCCTGTCTCCTAGTTATGAGGATTTGGATTCAGAGTCATCAGCCCCCAACACTGTGCTCTTTACTGTTTCGCTACCCTGCTTCCTGACACACAGCACGTACAGTAGACATTTAATACCCACTCTTAGAGTAACGAAATGTGGAATGGCTGTGGGTGCTCTTGGGAAGTGTTGGTATGCAGGCTGCTTCATAATTTCTTTAGAGGAGAAGGCTTAGAGAGTCTTAGAATTTATAACATCTTAGATCTGCCAAGAATGACTCTCATTTTAAAAATTTAATTGACTTACGCACGTATCAGAAAAAGCACTCATTTTAATCGTACAGTTTGGTGAGTTTTGACAAACGTGAACATTCTTGTAACCATCACCTCAGTCGAGATGCTGAACATTCTCATCACTCTAGAAAGTTCCTCGTGTCCCTTTGCAGACAGCCCCTGACCCGCACACCTCGCCAGGAAGTCACCGATTGGTTTTCTATCATTGTATATCGGTCTTGCCTGTTCTCAAACTTCATGTGAACGGAATCACACCACTTGGACTATTCTATGTCCGGCTCCTTCAGCCCGGCATTTTGCCTTGCAGTGTGATCCCCGTCACCGCTTTTATCCATACGGTGGTTCTTTTTGTTGCGAGCAGAGTCCCATTGCACGGCGGTGCCTCAGATCACTCATCCACTCTCCTATTGATTGACAGCTGGGTTGTTTCAGTTGTCGGCCGTGATGAGTGAAGCTGCTGTGAACACTCGAGCTCACACACAAGTCTTTTCACTTTCATTCTCGTGCATAGATAAGATCGGAATTGCTTAGTCATCGGATGGGTAGAGGATGACCTTCGTAACAAGTCACTGCACTGATTTCCAGAGTGGGCTGACCATTTTACCTTTTCATCAGCCGTGGGTGTGAGGTCCAGTTGCTCCGCATCTTCACCGACACTTGGGGTTAGTTACCAGGTTTCATTTTTGTCACTTGCGCTATTCCAACAGGTGTGCGGGAGTGTCTCGTGGGGGTTTTAGTTTGCATTCCCCTGGTATCCGAAGGTGCTGAGCATCCTTTCGCCTGTTTACAGGCCACGTACATCTTCTTTTCTGAAGTGTCTGTTTGAATCTTTTGCTCATTGTATTCCTGGGTTTTTGTCTGATTATCGAGTGGCCAGGGCTCATCATAATTCTGGATACAAGTCCTCTCGCAGACATACAGGGTTGGGCGAACATAGGCTCACAGTTGTTCGAATGGAGAAAGACACGCAGGTTATAATGATCACAATATCTATATTAAGCCACAAGGATGTCACTCACAACTGAAAGCCTGCTTTTGCCCACCCCATATGTATTTTGAACATGCTCTCCCAGCTCATGGCTTGCCTTTTAATTTTCTTAATGGGGTCTTCTGATGAGTAGAAAGTCCTAATTTTGATGAACTTTTCCAGTCCATTCATTTTTTTCTTTTATGTTGCAATTTTAAAGCATGCCCCGCGTCTGCTGTGTGGGTAATCAGGGAGTGTTTGTTTGAATGGCCGGATGCCTTCCGAGCAGGAGTAACCTGCAAGTCTATGAAGACACGACCTCCCTGGGCTCTCTCTGGTCTGGGGGGGTTCACGTTGGCAGGCAGCTCCCCACTCCAGCCCTCTGGCCCCCCAGGAGTCAGGCTGATGAAGGATCCAAATCAGCATCAGCATATGCGTGTGCATACATGTGCCCAAAAAGCAAGCAAACCCTTCTGTCTTCACGGGTGAGGATTCTCCCGGCGCCTTCTCGGCCTGATATTCTCGGGAAATGTTGCTTCGTAAATATTGAATTGTGTTGTTACCCTCAGCACACGCCGCCAGAGACTGCTTCCTAGGAACGAATTCGGAGTCGTGTGTGCGGTAATTACCCCTGGAAGTGTTCATTCAAGTCGGAGAGCAGGTTAAATAATGAATAGGAATGGCATTTATGGTTCTAATTTAGAACCTTTGTCTCATTTTTTTCTGGATGAATTTGAATGTCAAGGGGGGGGCAGTGGGAGCTTGAGGTAGGCGGGTGGGTGGAGCAGGAGGGTGGACTGACTCATGATGCTGGAGAAGGGGCTCGGGGGGCACCCTCCAAGGTTTGAGCCGGGTGGCAGTGCCGTGGGAACCAGGAGGGTGGTGCGGGCAGGACCAGGGGCGTGCCCACTGGTGCTGTGGTCCTTGCTTCCTCCCCAGGGCCATTTCTCACCTTTTTGACATCATTCCCGTAGAGAGAACTATGAAGTGCAGAGCAGGCCTGAAGGGAAAACAATTCGATCCATTGTCCCGCCTCCCACAGGCAACCATTATTAGCACTGGGGAGCCTTCTTTTGCCAGCCTTCTTTCTCTGCTGAGGTGTTTTTTTTCCCTTTGAAACATACTTTGAGACCATACTATAAATACAGTTGTGTCTTTCGTGGTGTGTGGGTTCACCCTGGGGACGGAAGCATTGTGGAGTAGGATTGCACACACTTTATGAACAGCAAGCCCCGTGTCTCTGGGACCTTTCTCTTGTCCGCTGCTGTGTCCCCAGAGCCCAGCATGGTGCCTAGTATGTGGCAGGTGCTGGGTGAGTGTGTTGGAAGGAGGCGCCACTTTTAGTGCCTGTGTATCACCCCTTAGTGACAGTGGCCAGCAGTATAGGGTGTTGTGGTGTGCCGGACACATGCTACCAGCTTTACAGTGCCTCCCGCCCCGGTTGGCTCAGAGACCATTCTTTGTGTGGCCGAGAGCAGAGATCTTGGAGCAAGTGTTGGAGCAGAGAGCTTGTGAGCTAGACTGTCTCTCTGGGTTTTGTATCCCAGCTGCATTGCTTTTTAGCTGCGTGACCTAGGGCAAACCTCTCTGTGCCTCAGTTTCTTCAGTTGTAAAAATAATATCTACATTGGAGATATTATTTGCTAATTATCTGTTAATAATATCTACATTGGAGAACTGCCAAAAGGATTCAGTGAAATGGTTCTGATCAGAGCCTGGCAAAGAGAAAGTGGTTTGGATTGTTGGTTATAATTGGTATTATTCATGGTCTGGGTGACCTTAAGCAAGTCATTTTACCTCTGAGACTTAGTTCCCTTACATGGAAGACGCAGAGAGGTTGTGATCATTGGAATGAGATGTGGGAAGAGCTGAGTCCGGAGCCTGGTTCCTAGTAGGAGCGCAACAAGGAATAGTTATTAGCATGTGCTAAAAGTAGCGAGAGCTTTCAAGCTCCTACTCCACCTTCTAAACTCATCTCAAAGGTCACTTCCTCCAGATGTCTTCCTTGATTTCTCACCTCCCCCTGCCATGTCTCCTCCCATGTTCTTCTTCTGCTCTGTGAGATCCTTTGTCACAGTGCCTCCATGCTGACCTGTGATATTTTAGCTACCTGGGTCTCCACCAGACCCTAAAGTCCTTGCAGGCAGGGACCGCCACTGTCCCTCACTGTCCGGCACACAGGAGGGCTCTACCAGGCATGTGTGGGGTGCAGCTCTGACTGGAGCAGTCGGGAGGAGTGTGGGGGCTGCCAGACCGAGGGCGACAGCTTCTGTCGAGTCATCTCAGAGGGGAGACGTTAGTTAGCAGAGGCTTCTGGGAAAACTCGCTGCTCGTCATAAATTCTAACTCTCTTGGGTAACGTTTGGCCAATCTGTCTTTTCCCGACTTAATTCAGAATTGGATGGGAGGGAAGGAAATGTGTCTGAGCGACTCTACGCTAATGAGCTGTAACAATGCGCTGGGAACCGCGTTGCTCGGAGCCACTGACTTCCAGGCAGAGAAGGGCAGCGGCGGAGAAGCAACCCCTGGGTGTCCAGCGGGTGGTCCGAGGATTCTGCATTTTGTCAGAATTCCCAAGTTCTGAATCCCCTCGGTACTTGTCTTTGACATAACCTTCATTCAAGGGATAATTGATGTACAGTACAATGCACCTGTTTTACCAGTACAGTTTGGGTTTTAACAAATGCCCGTACATCTGTGTAACCACCACCATGACCAGCGTGTAGGAGTTTCCAGCACCCTAGGAAGTGTCCTCTCACCTTTTGTGGTCAATCCCCTCAGCTGCTGCCCTGGGTGACAACTGATCCTCTTTCTGTCACTGTAAGTGGGTTTTGTCTGCTGTAGAATTTCATATAAATGGAACCACATAGAATAGACTCTTTTGTACCTGGTTCCTTTTGGGAATCCTATTATGGTGTTATTTGAGGGCAAGGTTTAATCCTGCTTCACTGTTAAACCAATCCCTGCCCATTACCCAGCGCGGCTGCTGTGATAGCTGTGGGGCCCATTCTCACGCTGCCTCTAAGACGTCCAGCCGAAATGTCCCCTGTTCCTTCCCTGCGTCCCCCAGCAGTGCTGGCCGGGTCGATGCTGCTGCCGATCTTAACTGCCTGTTAACAAGTCCTTACCATGTTAATAAGTATTGGCTTTGTAAAGTCTATTCTATTATCACAACCCTCATCTGAATTAGTTATTAGTGTCCCCATTTGAAAGAAAAAAATGAAGGCTCAGAGACGCTGAGCAACTGAGCTGACACCACACAGCGACATAGTAGCCGAGCCAGCCTTTGATCCAGGACTGTGGTCCCAGGAACTTGCTCGGGGACTCTCGCTCTGCTACAGTGCCTTGCAGGTGAGCTGTTGTCTTCACCTGCGTCCTGGTAGCTCCTCCTCGTAGCACCCATTGCATTTTTATAGTTAGTTGTTTCACTGTCTGAATTCTTAGCTGTAAATGCCAGAATCTACTCCAGCCATTTAAATAAAAAGAAAATGTATTAAAGGAAATTTGGCAGTTCACAGAATTTCCAGCGGGGCCCAAGTCAGCTTGGAGGCTCTGCAGCCAGGAATAAAGCTAAAATCTGGCTGAATACCACGGTCCCAGCTGCCCCTGAACTTCAGACACGCTCTGCATAACTAGAGTCTTTGGGCACCTGTATCTTCAGTTGCTCCCTTCTTCTTCCTCCTCCTCCTCCTTCTCTTCTTCTTCTTCGAAGATTTTATTTATTTTTAGACAGAGGGGAAGGGAGGGAGAAAGGGAGAGAAAAACATCAGTGCGTGGTTGCCTCTCATATACCCCCTACTGGAGACCTGGCCTGCAACCCAGGCCTGTGCGCTGACTGGGAATTGAAATGGTGACCCTTCAGTTCTCAGGCTGGCATTCAATCCACTGAGCCACATCAACCAGGGCAGTTGCTCCCTTCTGATTGATGTATCACACGACAATCTGTGATTGGTGGAGCCTGTCACATGACTGTGCCCTGGGTACAAGGGATCCTGGGAGAGTGAGTCTCTAGCTTCTGTGTTGGAAAAGCAGAATATCCCCAAATGTGGGAATGGGTTCAAAAGGAACCCAGACAGCCAGAGACTATGGCCCGTGTTCCTTACAGGTCCTCCTGGACCGTGACTTCCTCCAGGGTAGGGAAGGTGTCTGATTTATCTCTGTCTCCCCGACACCGAGAACATGGCAGGTGTGGTGTCACTTCTGAAGAAGTATCTATGTAGCAAACGAATGAACACAGAGACAGGTGAACGAGTATGGATTTGACACAGGCAAGACCTGGAGACATCCTAGAGGAGGATGTGTTGAGTCATTTTGAGAAATTAGTTTCTTGGCTTTGTCCTCTAGTCTCGGCTCCAAGAGTTGAGGGTGACTCAAGCCTGGGAGCCTTTGGGGTCCTCAGACCGAGGACCTCGAGGCCCCTTCTCCAAGTGAGGCAGCTCTACGGACCAATCTGGGCACCAATGGGGGGTCAAGGCTCTCCGGAAGCAGCATGTCAGCCCCAGGCAGGGAGACCGACCACCTGCTGGGTGCCTGGCCCAGGGGCAGGCGTCGGGGATGGGGAGCGGGTGGGACTGATGTTTACTGAGCACCTACGATGCTCTAGGCGCACTGGGTTCTCTTGCGTCAACCCTTTGGGTAAGAACCGATCTTCCCATATTATACACAAGGAAACTGAGTCTCAGAAAGACTCAGCAACTGGCCTGAGACCATCTGGCTGCTCCGGGTTAGAACTCTTCCTCCATCTCTAGACTTTTGGATCAAAATCTGGCTCTAACTCATACTAACCATTGTGGCTTTGGGAAAGTTACTTGGCCTCGGTTCGCCTATCTGAGCTCTGGAGACAAGAATAATCCTGACTTCACAGTGTATTGCCCAGATAAAATATGGCAACACATGGGAGAAAATATGGTGCTGAACAGGGACAGATGTCTCATTGTTCCAGCATGATTTGTTGAAACAGTTATTGTTTCTCCGTTGAATCGCCTTTGCATCTTTGTCAGACACCAGTTGACTGCATTTCCCCGGGCCAATTTCTCACCTCTCTGTTCTGTTGATCTCTGAGTCTATTCTTCCACCAACACCATGGCATCGTCATCACTGTAGCTGTAAGTCAGTCTTGAAACCAAGCAGTGCGGTTCCTCCACCTTCATTCTCCTTTTCCCGGAATTGTTTGCCACAGGTATTTGGACACAATGTTGTTAGGCACATAGACATTTAGAATCATTGTGACTTCTTGGAGAACTGGCACCTTTCTCACGAGGTGGTAACCCCCCTGATCCCTAAAACAGCCTTTGTTCTAACATCAGCTTTTTCTGAAATTAGCATAGCTACTCCAGCTTCTCTTTGCTTGGTGTTTGAGTTACTGATACTCCTGCCACGCCCACTGCGCCCCCCCCCCCCACCGGGAGAAGCGGTGAGAAGAATCTCTGTTTTCTAAATATGCAGCAGTCCGTGTGCTTGCACAGAGCAAGATCAGAACGGGAGCCCCTGTGGTTCCCTGCGCTGTCGAGATCCACAGCCCCAGCAGCCTGCATCTGCGGCGAGACTTCTCAGGGAGACCTCCATGGCTTTGCAGCCTCCTCTGACTTGAAAGTGTCAGCATCTTGTATTTCCAACCTCTCTTCACCTTCCAGGTGGATGACTTGACACCCGAGGAATTCTCCTTTCATATGGGCACATGGTGTGTGCCCTGGAGGAAAGGCAGAGGGATTAGCTGTAGGTGTGATTTTTATTAAAAAGAAGCTCTTTCACCACCCCCGCTACTGGCTATGAAAGCAGGGGGAAGCGTCCCCAGGTTCCACAGGAAACACGCAAGGGACTAACTGGACGATAGGACCCAAGGGCACGGCTGGAAGAGTGAAGGTTAATTCAGCACCCTGCTCTCTGGAGTCCCTTGGAGTTTTAGCTTCAACAAGGGCGGAGAGGGTACAGGGAGGGGAGGGGATGTCACGACGGTCTTCATCTATATTCAGTCACCAGGAATAGCCTTCCGACTGTAATTGAATAGAACTGGAGACAGAATCAGGCTGGCTGGCTGGAAGCTGGCAGATTATCTACCTTCATAGCCGTGGGGTGGGGAGTGCGGCATAGGGGGGCAGCACCGTGGAAAAGAAAGGCCCAGTCTGCCCAGCTCTGCTCTGTTCCTGGCTGTACTGGCTGCAGAAACGGGGGTCAGGCAGCCTGAGCTCAAACCCCCCACTGCCTGCTGGGTGACTCAGCTGTTCTCTGCCTCCAGATCACTACCTGTAAAATGAGGATAATGTGTATTGAGGGCATGCTGGTGAGGGTGAAGTGAGATGACCCATGTAATCATTTCTCTGGTATTCTTGCTTCTCAAAGTGTGGCTCACAGGCCAGCTTTGAGCTTTGAGCTCCCTGGGAGCTTGTAGGAAACGCACACTCTCAGGCCCCTCCCAGCGTCTGCGCTGGAACCAGGTCGAGGTTGAGTCCAGTGCCGGGTGAGTCCATTACATGTCCGAGGGCACTGGGCTTTCTGGGGTCTCCGCCCTCTGTTCTGTAATAGTGTTCTTTCTACCCGCCTGAAACAGTCCTCAGAGCACAGAGCATTTGGGGGTGGCAGGTTCCTGTTGCTCTGGAGAGCCCTGACTCTGCCTGGAGCAGTGAGGCTGAATTCCTTCCTCACATCCCCCCACCCCTCCCCCTGCTCAAAGACCAGCAAGTCACCATCACTTCCACTTCCTACATCTCTTGACGGCTGCTGCAAATACAGAGCCTTCGGCAGCTTAGATCCTGTTTTTAAAATGTACCTAAGGGAGCCCGCCATTTAAGGAACCCCGTGGTGAACCCTTCTGCAAAGCAGATAATTGCCAACTAATTTATCCATTTTACAAAGCGCCCCTTTTGCATATTATGATTTCAGAACTAAGGAGGTGGAGCTGTTGGAAGCTTTAATTATCAGCGATCCTCAGGATAAGAAAATTTTGGAGGGGTGAAAATAGGCCCCTTTCCTAGTCTCAGGAGAGCATCGGAACCACTTGTGAGCTTTACTCTTTTTACATTGTTTGAGTACATAAATCGTGAGTGTCCGGCTTCCTGATATTTACCTCTGTCCACACCTGGGTAGTTAGGGTTTGGAAGGTTTTAGCAACCCTCAAAGCTCCGAGGTGCCCCTCCCGGCTCAACCGTACTTCCCCAGAGGTTAGCCTTCCTGTGATTTCTATTGCACAGGTTAATTTTCCCTGTTGCTGAGTTTCATATAATGGAATTATACAGTAAGTAATCTTTCATCTGTCGCCAGACTCTTGGCTTCTTCTATCAGGAGAAAAACAGAAAAGTCAAGCAAAGCTTCGTTTCCCTTCTACCCAGTAGCTCTCACGTTTTGGGCTTCATCACAGTACCCTGTTCCAGCAAAGGGGGCATTACAGCCCAGTGGACCGGGCCCTGCCCCAGGGTTTCGGGATGGGGCCTGAGAATTTGCATTCATAACCAGTTCCTGGGTGCCGCTGGAGCCGCTGGTCCAGGTGCCACACTTGGAAAACCGCTGCCCTGGCGTGGTAGCCGGTGCTGTGCAGACCCGTCCGGCTTTGCCGTGTTGAGGGGACATGGAGCTCCGATCGCCTTGGAGCTAAGTCATCAATGCGGTTTTTCTGTCAGCGTAAGAAACGTACAAACCTGCAGAGAACCTTTTTAAATGAGTTTATTTGAGCCAAGCTGACAACAATCATCTAGAAGCAAACTCTCAATGGATTGAGAAAATGCTCCAGAAAATGGCAGTTTTATCACTCATTTTATCCGTCAGAATCAAAGGAGGAGACATAAGGGGTTTACATGAAATCCGGTGGTGACGTATTAGGGAGGTGGGAGAAAGCAAAGCTGGGAGTTCTCTGAGACTGGATGAAAGTAAAATGGATATGTTATTGTAGATGCAATAGGCTCAGTTAAGGTAAAGACGGACCTTCGTCAAGGAAGCTGCAGGCCGAGGGCATGACTGCCTGCTGTGACTCACTGATAGTTAGGTTTTAATTTCAGACCGTCCTGTGAGGCCACTTTCGGTCTCTGGGTGTGTAAGGCCTGCCATGCGGTCTCCCCTGAGTCCGTCAGGTTTAGGATGTGGCCCTATTTCCTTCACATTTCTGTGTGCCTCCCCCCAAGCCGCAGTCACCCCCCATCGCTGCTTTGCCTTGTTTGGGGGAAGATGGGAGCCGTGGGTATCAGCATTTCTCAGCAGTCTCGTGTCCTGATCTCTTCTACAGTCTTGGATAAGGGAGTAATTAATGGAGATATACCTGTTGTCAGTGTATTTTTAATGAAACAAAACAGAATGTTTCTACAGATAGCCGTTCTGAGGCAAAAAGAACAGGGGGAAAAAAAAGGAACATTTTAAAGCCTCTAACTGGGATTCTAAATGGAAACCACCTCCCTAAACTGCAGGCTCTCGGCTCCCCCACACCCCCGGGACCACCTCCAGGCTTCTCCTGACTCGCTGATGGAATGTAGAGAAGTCGGTTTGCCCCACTGCGGCTGCCGCCCAGCCCTGAGAGAAGGGGGCAGGCTGGAACCCCAGTCCCCCTGGGAGCTGTGTCTTGGGGGCCCTGAAACCCGGAGGGACCACCTGGAGCTGTTCACTCTCCTTTGAAGATAAAGATAAAAAACCCAGCCAGCTGACTTTGAAGGATGGGTTTTTTTCCCCTAATTTTTTGAACAAAAGTCATTTCAACATCTAAAAGAATTTTTTTAAGCTTTCCC